GAGCCCCTGTGTGCTCTTCAGCAAGCCAGGCCGAGCAGCTGCCAGCCCCACATCAGGCACAGCCAGTTCCCACCTTGTCCCCAGAGAACCCCAAGCGAAGGGTGCCCATACAGACTGGCACATGCCCATGCCAGGGTCCCTGCAGAAAGGGGGGGGGGGGAGAGACACAGGGCTGCCAAGAGGACAGGATGAGGGGGATGACAGGCCAGAGAGGTCTGGGTCATTTGAGGGGCCCAAGGCGGTCGGCAGGTCATGTGGTTTGGCTCTCTGGGATAGCGGCTGAGAGACGAGGGGGGGATGCGGGGGGAGTGTCTGGGAGGCGCCGCCGCACCCCCCTCCAGCCGCCTTCTCCGCAAATGCACGGGGGGGTGTGAGCTTGCCCAGACTCTCCGTTTTATTTGGGAACACGAACTCACACTCGCAGCGGGGAGGGGGGGCGGCGGCTTCAGGCCCGCCTGCCTCCCCGCCCCCTTCTCATCCCAGGAGGCTCTGGATTCCGGGTCAGCCGCCCCGACGGGATGCATTTCTTTCCCGGGCCTGAGGCGCGGGAGGGGCGGCGCAGGACTTGGGCGGCCCCTCCAGGTGTCTTTCCCGGGGCGGGCGGAAGGGAGCTGCGCTCGCTTCCCCAGAGGCTGCCGGGGGGCCTTGTCCAAGCGCACCCCGCGAAGAGGCCAGAGACGCGCCGCCTGGAAGGGGGGTGGGCTAGGGGAGAGGAGACGCGGACACGCCGGGCTTCGGCCCCCTTTGGGAAAGGGGGGGGGCAGCTTTCCCCTCCGGTTCCCAGGGTGGAGAAGAGTGTCCAGGGGAGACTCTACAGGCCCCCTAGCTGCTGGGCGGGGGGTGTCTAGGTTCTCTTGCCGGGAGGGGGCTGACTTCAGCCTCTCCGCGCCCTTCCTGGAGATTTGGGGGGGGGATGTTAATAACAGTGAACGTGACAAATCCCACTGGGGGAGGGGACGTGGCGCATTCTGGGGGCTCCCCCACCGCCCTCCAGTTCTCCTACAACAAATGAAAGAAGGGACCAGGATTGGGGGGGGGGGGGGAACACAGATCCGTTCGGGACTCCGTCTGTCTCCCCTCGAAGCCGAGCTCACCCGGTCCGACTCCATTTGTGGCTCCAGCCCGACTCTCGTCGGACCGATAAACTCGGGCTGAGACGGAGGCCGTGCCGCTTGCGCGCCCCGTCGGATGGACTGTCCAAGCGCGGGGTAATTTCGCTCCCAGAAGGCCAAGCTGGGGACCGTTACAGATGGGGGCTAGGGGTGGCTGACAGACCATGTATTGGAGGGGAAGGGTGTGTTGGCAGTCAGGGAAATCAAGCCAGACTTGATTGAGGTTTCCAGACCAGGGTGGGATCTCCGTTGTGAGGAACGGAGAAATGCCCGGTCTCGTCCCGATGCCTTCTGGAAACGGCTCTCGGAGGCATTGACGGAAGCGCTTCTTTCCCGTCGGACCGGGAGGTTGTTTGTGCGCTTGTTTGAATTCAAGCGGACCTTGAAACAACAAAGAAGCAGGGTGTTCGTCCCCCCCCCCCACTTCAGATGTTCACTGTTATGGGTGATTTCGCTCGCCAAGCCAAACAGGTCGATCTGAAAAGTAGCCCAAATCCAAAAACTGGAAGGCCTGGAGGAGGAAATGAACTCGATGGGGGTGCAGATCTTGGAGCCCCTTTCTCAAGGAGGGAGGGAGGGAGGGAGGGAAGGGGGTGAGCGATGCGTTTTAGGGGCCTTCTCCCGGGCTGTTTGCTCCACAGGAGGCACTATATCTTCACCCCAAAAACATGCCCGCTCGCCGCCGCCCCCACGTCCGTGTCACCAGCGCTTCATAAGTCCCCCTCCCAGTTCTAACAGGCCCACTGCCCTTCCTCTCTTTTCACGAGCACGTCCAAAGAAAGGATTTTCCGACGTGCATTTGGGAAAATGCAAAGTTGCGCCTCGACAGGGCTATTTTCCACTCAGCCGCCCTTAGCGCCGCCTCCTCCGCCCCCACTCCTGGGTGCCCACCTGGCTTTCTCAAGCCCTCCTCTGGTTGACCGCGCGGAAAAGCTCCGGGGACGCTACCCGGCCCAATCCAACCGCTCGCCCTTTTCGGGTCACAACATCCAAGACTGCAGCAAAACTTCGCGCCACCCGAGAACCCCCGACAGCCGGCGCCGCGCAACTTCGGTCTATTGCCCGACAGCGGTTTCAAGCACTCAGAGTCTGAAGGCGAAGCCGCCAGGTCACAGCTCCCCACCCCACCCCCCGTCCTTTCCTCCTATAAGCCCCCTCCGAGCCCCGTCGGAATCTGTCCGCCTGACCGGTGGCCGAGCAAACTTCCCCCGTTCGACCCAGTCTCCTCGCTTCTTACCTGCATTGTAAGCGGCCAGATCGGCGCCGGGTCCCGGGCTTTTCCTTTTCCGGGGCCGCCCCTTCTGCACGGTGCCCACCCCGTTGTAGTAGGGCAGTCCTAGGGGGGCAGAGGCGCCCAGCGCAGGGCCTTTGCCCGCCGCTCCCTCGGCGTGGTTGAAGTGCAGCTGGTACTCTCCCTGGAGCAACGCCTCGAAGTGCAGCCGGCAATAGACCAGGTTGTCCTTCATGCCGAAGTGGTCGCCCGTCGTCAGCATCTTGGCGCACGTCGAACAAGTGAAGCAGTTCAAGTGGTAGACCAAGTCCCGGGCGCGCATCACCATCTCCGAGGCGGAGATGCCCAAGTGGCAGCGCGCGCAGCGCTGGACCGAAAACCTCCTGCGGACCCAGAAAAAGGCAGCCTCAGTCCCAGGAGCCAGGGAAGCGGCCAGCCAGGGCGGAGCTGCCCGGGGCAGGCAGGCTTCGAGGCCCACCGCCGAGAAAGGGCGGCCAACAACCCACGGAGCCTAGCCTGCAGCCGGTCGGGGAAAAGGCAGCCTTGGGTTGCGGTCACACACACGAAACAATCCACTTCCAATGTACTTTCCAACCGGATTTTGGCAGTTCACACAGTGAAATCCAGTTGAAAAGTACACGGAAAGTGGATTGAAAGTGGATTATTTAGTTTGTGTGACCGCAGCCTGGAGACCTTTTGGGGGGCGAGTTGGAGATCCGAAGCAGCGGGAACGTTTCCCTGGATTACAGTGGGATACCGCCTCGCCCGGCTTCCAGTCGGAGTGGGCGAAGGGCACCCAAGAATCCAGCCACTGTCGCCGCGCTTTGGGCTTCTCTTTGTGGAAATAAACGCCCTGGGGCCGGGGAACCGCACCGCAGCTCGGGCTCTGACGCCAGCTGCTGCTGCTGCTGCTGCTGAGGATGCGCCAGGGCAGCATCTCCAGGCGCACTCCTTCCCCTGCTGCGAGTCGCCGGCAAGCCAGGCCCGGATCCTAAACACTCCTTCCCTCCAGGAGCCTCCTTAGGGCGGGAAGATCGGTCTGCTACGGGGGGCGGGACCTGCTTTGGGCCCCTGGCCGGCTCCCCCCGCTTCCCCCCGGGCCCCCCGAAGGTAGGCAGGCCGTTCGGCAGGCCAGCCGGCCCCCTTACCTGTAGTAGTCCTCCTTGCAGTAGATGCTGCCGTCCTTGCTGAAGCAGGTGAGCTCCGACTCCAGGTTGAGCTTGCACTCACAGCACTTGAGGCAGCGCATGTGCCACTGCTTGTCCACCGCCAGGAGGTAGTAGCGGTCCGAAATCTTGCCCCCGCAGCCGGCGCACAGGGCGGCCCGCTCGCTGCTGATGGACGGCATGGCGTGCTGCAGAGGGGAGACAGGCAAGGGCGCCCGGCGGCGTCGGTTAGAGGAGAGGGCCCGCGGCTCTCCGGCTCCCGAGGGGCCTCTCTCCCCCCCCCACCGGGAAGGGGGAAGGGGGAAGGGGAGGGAGGGCCGGAGCCAGCCACACAGCTGACCGCGCTTGGCCGCCGGGCGCAGAGAGCTGGCCAAAGCGGCACCCGAGAGCAGCGGCGGCGCCCCACCGCCTCTCTCGGGCCCGAGTCCCAAGAGCTCCCTCCCAGTCCGGAGCTCAGACCCACCCAAGCGCGTGGGGAGAAGGGGACAGCGGACGGCGAAATAAACGCGGCTAGTCTTCCGAGCGCCCCCGGCCTTATCCTGCCTGCGGCCACCGCCGAACGCGGCGACCCATCTGGAGTCGCCATCGAAAGCTCTTCCTTCCCATACGGGCCCAGCGGAAAGCGACGCCTGGGCCGCGGGGGGTGGGAGAGGGCGGCGGCGGCGGCGGCAGGATAAATCCGGAGAGGCATTTTAGGAAAACGAAAAATCCGGAAAGAGGCCTCTCTTCGAATTGGTGGAGGGGGGGTGCAGTCACAGATGGGCCACACGGGACTCTTCTTTTGTGTTTTGAAGCAGAATTAATAGACGAGCAGGACTCAGACCCGCGGCTAAACCATGCAGAAGGACATTATTTTTAAGCGCCGTATAATTAAAAAAAATAATAACTAAAACACCTCTACTTTTTATGTTGAAAGACGAAAGGGGAGGGCTGATTCTGAAAGCAGGTTTTGCGCAAGAGACAAGCATTTCTTGCCTCCTCTCAGCTTGCCATTTTAGCTGTTTTAGGTGCCAATCCTAAAAAGGATCCTACTCAAGCCTACTTGATATTACTCCCAAGAAAATGCCCTTTGGCTTGCTCAGTAAGGAGGCAGAGATGCGCCTGGGACTTCACTCGTCGGTGCGTGTCTGACTGGCAGGGCCCTTTCGCTTCCTCTTCGGGAGGAACGGAGTATTAGTCGAGGTGGTCGGGCAGAATTCGGAGAAGAAATGTCGCCCCGTTTGCTTCCTAATGGCGCAAATGCAGACGCCTCCGGGGTTCTGTTTTGAGTGTGTGTTTTAAGAGCAGATTTTTAAAATGGCCTTTGCAAAGTGGACCCAATTGGGATGGCTGACATTGTGGACCCGATTCAGCGAGATGAAGACAGCAAAAGAAAAACACCGAAAGAGGCTTGCAAACAACCCGTGCTTCTCCAGGTTGAGGGGTTCTGCGGTATGTTCATTTACTCCTAAACAAACGGGTTTAGGAGTAAAATGGAAAATAATCCGCTGCCCACCACACAAAAAAAGACACAGTTAATTTTTTTTAAAATCCAAATTACAATAATCTTCTCTGTTGTCGACGTTGCCAAAAAGACTCAAAATAAAAACGGAATGCAATATAGTTATTATTTGAAGCCTCCGGTTCACCTTTATAATATTTTTCGTTGCAGCGCAACATAACGTTAATTATCTCCTTCTCGGGAAAAGAAAAAGAAAGTTATCTTGCAAAAGACGATCAACATATTTCGAGTTGAGGGGGACGGAAGAGCAGGAAAGGACTCCGGAAAGGGATTTGGAACAGGCCGCCGCCGGGTCGCTTGCCTCTCGCGGTTGCCGGGCCCGGTTCGCTCGCTTCTGGCCGACAAAAACCAAGGGCCTTGGAAAAAGCAGAACCCCAAATCAAACCCAAATCGTGTTTCCAGAGCATCAGAGAGCCCAAGAAAACGCAGGGCTTCAGCAAACGGAAGGAGCTGCCTGGGCGGGGGAGGTGCTGTTTTTAAACCTTTTTTTAAAATGCTTTTTAAAATCAAAATGGAGAGGCCCCCCCCCCAGATATAATAATGTGGAGACTTAAAGAGCCACTTTAAACATCTTTTGCCAGCCGGGTTAAAACATTTTTGTTTAATGTAAGCTGGTTTCTTTCTTTCTTTTTTTAATCTTCGGGGGTGGGGAAGGAAAGTGAGAAAAGGGACCGTTATTCGGTTCGCTAGGAGGACAGTTCTGGGAAGACAGAAGTCTCACCCGCCCCGGCTCGGAGGTCGGGAAAGAGGGGGAAATGCCTTTTCCCTCCCTCCCTCTTTGGATCTCTGTTCTTCGCCGTTTTGTCCCCTCCATCTGGGAAACTGATTATTAACTGAATCGATTTCCCTTGTAGTAGTATTATTATTATTATTATTATTATTATTATTATTATTATTATTATTATTATTATTATTATTATTTCGAGCATCCCCAGCCATGCTCGCGGGATTCTTCCCAGGAAGACGGCAGTACTCTTAGTTTGGATTCCGGGGGAGTCAGCCCCGCCGCCGGGACTCCAGGGCCCTGCTGCCGCGATCCCTTTCTCGGCTTTACTGTTATATGGGGAGGGGGGGATATATATGCTATCTATTCCTAGCAAGAGGGCCCTGGAGCCTCCACCCTCCTGGACCCCTTCCCGGGTAGCCCTGGACCGGGCAGGTAGGCAAGGGGGGAGCCAACCCATCCTCCCGCCCGCCCGGCGCTCCGGCTCCTGGCCCTACCGTCTCGGTCTCGCCCCGGTCGATGGCCGAGCTGATGGCGGGCGCGTCGCCCTTGGCTCGCCGGTCCATCTCGTCGATAACGCCGTGCATCTCCGAGCCGGCCAAGCTGTGGAAGAGCATGGCCGGCAGAGGCCGGGCGGGAAGCCCCGGGAAGATGCTCCGGCCGATTCGAGTCCGCCACCGGCGCCCAGCTTAGGCGCGGCGCGGCGCCATTCCTGGAGCGCGGCCGCCCCGTCTCGCCGCCGCCTCGTCCTCCTGGTCCTCTTCCTCCTGGCCGGCTGGCTCAGGTCCCCTCGGCTGGGCCGGGCGGGCCGTTGGTGGTGGCCTGGCGGCGGCCGGGAGGCGTCAGAGCCCGGGGGGGCCCTCCTCCATGGCCCGGCTGCGGCGCCC